GGCTCCCACAAGTTGCATGAAGACAACATGCTGAACTCAAGAGAGGGGCACTAGTCGACGATAATTTATGGGTCGTCGATGATTGTATATGAGACTGACCTTGATGAGGCTCTAAGTATTCATCTAAACTTAGATGCACCTTTATTCTGATAAGGTCATGTCCACATTAGTTTTTATATAAAGTTTCATCCTCAAGTATTCCTTATATAAAGAATACTAATGAAGAGGACTTTATCGGGTATAAAGGTCCATGCACGTGACATGTATGGTGGTTCCAATTGGACCAAAGGCTTATGAATTATTCATGAGTTTTTGAATGTTAAATAAATAATTCACAAAACAAAATAATGCGAAAATTGATCAGCTAAATGGATGCAGTAGAAATACTAAATGTTCAAAAAAGATAGGTTTTCAACTTTTTTTTTGTTGAATGTTTTATTAGGCAGGTTATTATACCCCCCATTGGCACTTAATTTATCATGTAAATGTTTGATTTGTGGGAGGGGAGGAAGGGGATGGTTTAGTAAGCTTAGTGGGGAGTGATCCCCTTCAGGTGAAATCCTGGATGCTCTTCAACTAATGTCTCAAATATGAATCGAATATTCCACTACACTGAGTGCTAAATTAGAATATCTCCATCAATGTTAATTCATGAAATAGCAAGAAAAGGGTGTTCCTTTCCTTACATAAAATTGTTAGTCTATTTGTGATAACGCTTGCTTGAGTTCTCAAATGCCCAGAACGTGCCCATACACAGGTACCATATACAGCAACCATATGGTCCTTCTTAGGCTTGGCTTGCTTCATTTTAAAATTTTCTGATGAGGATCCTTGCCTGTCTATATATGAGTCTTTCCTTGGATTTCACTGTTAGATTGTAAATACGCAGGGGTATTCAATGTTGTATATGTGACATCGTATCACATGAGARATTTCATTTTGGAAATAATGATAAAAATGAAAGAATTTATGCAATAAAAATAAATATTTATTAAATGTTCATGTTGATTTTTCATCATTTGGGTCAAGTATGCATGACTAGTTGTTTCTAATACGGGATTCCTTTATTAATTTTTTTAATGTAATATCTAAATTAATTAATTATTRATTAATTAGTATTCATATATTATGGTATAGTTAATTATAGTATTCATAATAATATTATGCTGATGTTAATGTTGATAAAGATATTTCATCTATTAAATAAAATTAGATTTTATTTATTCAGTCATACATTAATTTAATTATTTTATTTTAAACTCATAAAATATCTCGAATTGATAAAACAATATTTGAACACTGAACCAATTTATTGATTTTTTTGGGGGGGGAGGGGAGAAGTAATTYTTGGTCAACAAAACCTTGTAACAAATATACCGTAGAATATGAGTTATAGTCCATGGGGTTCTAATAAGTGGGGTTCCTGTGTATGACCGACCGTGAAGGACTAGATCTTAGCAGCCATTCTGCACAGCTGTTGTAAAAGAAAGAAAATAATTTCGTTCAAAATTGCCTTTGAAATCTTTTATTTTTCTCTTCAATATGCAACTACAATACCAAAGCAGAACCTGGAACACCTGGTAAGAGAAATATGGTTGAGCAATTTTGAAGAAAAACGCTCCTTCGATACGCGATGCCGTTGGTAGTTTACCTTCGCAACTGACTGAGCAACCAAGTTGAGTTAACTTTTCTTTAAATTTTTGAAACAATTGTGCCAGGAACTCCCAGGAATTTATGCTGTAGTGAAAACAGATAACCCTTTAACGTGTAGTCAGGCTGTTCTTCTACTACAAGGTCAAGTAAAGGATCAGTTGTACGTACAAGATACGTCTTGTTTCACAACAGCATGGCTCCAACTCTTCCGGTAAGAACAAGCGACGTAAGCTTAGTTTAAATGATAGAGATAGAAGTTTTAGAGCTTGCAGTATTATTTAGTTCTTAACTATTCTTGATACGAGCAAATGGTAGAGGAATGGTTCGACTAAACATATCTATAAATTGAGTATATACTTTGGATCAATCAGTAGTCTTAGTGTGGGAAAAGGAGCTGTTACCATTTGGAAATTTTTAGTTAAAACTTGTGTGCAACTGCATTGTGAGACAAGTTTCACAACTCTGTTGCAGACAAGTTTCAGCTTAAAGTTTCGATTTGTAATGTTTTGCCACTAGCGTAGGGAGGGGGGAGGGGGAAAGGGGGCACATCCTCCCAAAATAGTTAGCTTTTGACACTAAAATTTAAGTAGTAATTCCTTTAGGATTCCCGATGGATTTGGCAGGAAAAAGGTACATTGCTCCTTCTATGATCAAGACCTTGCTATGCCCCTGGTTGCACACCAGTAGAAATAAGGAGAGGGCAATGGACTTTGCGAAAGTCTATAAACTGGGTTGATAATGGAGTAAAATAATAAACACACAATCAAATAGGTTTCAGTGCATTGCAGGGTCTGGGAGTAAAAACTCCTAGGGATAACTACATTTTACATATAATAAAATATGCAGGGCTGTAACCAGGGGGAAGCACAGGGTGCACATGCACCCCCCTAAAAGCTTAAGGTCTGCTCATCTATCTCCATTTGCTTTAAAATTGGTGTATTTCATGGGTTTTTGAAAACAACTATGACTATGCAAAAAACATGACAGTTGGTATAATAAAAGACGGCTACTAAAAACTGATCAATGGTCTGATTTTATTTGATGTGCATCCTCCCTGTAAAAGTTCTGGTTACGGCCCTGACATGTTAGGTCTAAACTAAAAAGTTTTATTGTGGTTTGACCCCACAGCCAACCCAAACAGTTCCAGTTGAAGAATCAACATTGACAACAGGAGAAATAGTGATAATAGCTGTTGGTGCATATGTGGCTGTCATGATTATAGCACTTCTCATCCGACAGTGCTTAAAGGTATTATTTATAGTTATTGTTTGTTATTTAGTCACTCTGGTACTGCACGTTGCATTATGAACTGTGCCATATAGAGGCATGAGAAAGCATTCAATTCCCAGGAGCAAAGGGATTTTACTTTTCTTCCATCTAACCACAGGCAGTCCAAGCTATATTATGGGCACCAGCACATGATGATGCAAAACCTCTATTAACTGTGAACAGAGCACAGTGATGATGCCATCTGTGCCTGTACAATAGTGAAAGATTTTCTCTATATACCCCGGTAATGATACTAACAGATATTAATACTCTCCCAGGCTCAAGGTATAAGCCTCTGCCCAGCATGGGTAACTGAACAGTGCTGTGGAAGCTGTTGCAGTGCCGAGGGTGAGCCATCATGCTGCGCTGCATGTTTGGTTTCTTTTGCCGAGATGTGTGACTGCTCAACGCCAACCAAAAAATCTTGTATGGATTCCTTCTGTCCCTCTAAACAGGTAAAACTACTTCTATATAGAGTGTGTAATAGATAGTTCAAATACTTGATTTTTTTTTTTTTTAAACTAACTAACAAACAGGGATTGGTAAAAGTCATAGTGGTTATTCTTACATATTAAATATTTGATTTAACCATTACGAATCAGGTCATGGTGGATCCAGGGGTTGTTCTGTGGGTTCCATGGAACCCCCATTTCACTCCGACAAACCAGTGCCTTTTCTTTGCACGTAGCATCAAAACAAGGCCATTGGGTTGAGCTTCGAAGAATTCRCTAAGGGACTTACTACAAATCTTCAAGAGATCACTACATTTTGATAGATATCTTTGATATCTTTTTTGCTTTCTAACCATGGTCAAACACTATATAGCTTTAGGATGTATGAGCAGAGTTTTGAAGGCAGAAAGCACAGTTTTTGACCAATCAGCATGTGCATACTATCCTAACTATATAATAATGTTTGTTATAGTGGTGTGATGAAACTTTCTGTTGCTGTATGAATGCTCAACCTGGAGGTGAAATGTGTCAAGATTGTCAAGGGCCAGAATGTAATGTGAGTATTTCCAGTTGTATAATAATAATAAAATACATATTTTACCAGGAGCACCCTGTATAACAGTTAGGGCAGACTACTTAGTACTTGTAATGAAGGTAATGGTGATAAGTCATGATACCAATGATGATAAAGATGGTAAATGTGGTGGTGATGATGGTGATGATGGTGATGGTAAATGTGGTGGTGATGGTGGTGATGGTGGTAAATGTGGTGGTGATGGTAAATGTGGTGGTG